GGAGGAGCGAGGGTCGGGGGAGAACCAAGGCTGGAGACGCACCTCACGGCCACGGGGCTCCGCGCTGGCTCGGAGGGAGGCGGCGACGCCTGTGCGCGCCTCCTTCGGGCCGGTTCGTTCTCAGCCAGCCGCCTGCGCGACTCCCTCGGCAGCTGCAGACGCGCGGGCGAAAGGAAGAGAGAGTTGGGGAAGACGCGGGCTCTGCGGGGGCCAAGTCCGTGGACGTCCGAGGTGCAAACATCACATGCCCAGATCTGGTGGGTGGACCCAGAGATCGGATCAACACCGGGCAGGCTGCCCCTGCGTCCGGCGTGAGCCATGTGCGAGGGGCCGTGCGAGCTCTCGCAGAGCTGTTCGCCCGGCGGCTCCGGAACCGGGGAAGCGCGAAGCAGTCCGTGTCCTGCCCGGCGGCGGCAACGGCAACGGCATCGCAGGGGGCGCCGCGTTCTCCTCGCACCACGCCGGCCCCGCTTCCTCCTTGAGTCGGTGCTCCCCGGGCTGCCGTCGGTGCGCTTCGATGCGAGGGGCGCGCGCAACGCAACCAGCGTGCGGGAGGGGGGCTCCCGGGAGCTTTGGAGCCCGGCAAACGCCTCTTCGGCCGGCTGGAGACCCCCGGGCGTGCTCCCCCGTCACGGCAGAGCATTCGTCTCGGGAGCATTTGCGGAAACGCCACCCGCTCGTCTCCGCGGCTGGACCGGGTTTCCCCCGCTGCGCCTAAAGCGCGGCTCTGTCAAAACGGGGCTCGCCTTCCGCCGCACGGGTTGGCGTCAGGGTCTGGGGGCAGGACCCGCGGCCAGGCAGCGGGGGAACGGCAGCGGGGGAAACGGCAGCGCGCGGCGACACCTCCGCGGCTCGCCTCCCGCAGGTCCCCTACGCCCTCCCGGGGGATGGGTGCGGGAAGCGCCTAGGGACTTGGCGTTTCGCAGTCCCGCCGGGCCGGGGCCTCGTGCGGGACAGGCCGCCTGCAGGTGCGAGTGAGTGCCCGGCGATCGCCCGCTCGGGTGCGCGGAAAGGCCGGCGTGGGGAGGACTCCGGCCGCCAGATGCCGCCACCCGCTCTGCCCGCGCGGGACGGGCCGCCCCAGGCCCCCGAGAAGCGCGAGAGAGTCGGGAGAGCTGCAGGGCCCGGGGAACGGGTACGGGAAGGCCTCGCCCCGCCGGACGACCCCCCCCCCCCGCAGAGCAGGGTACATGTTTATGAGGACACCCCAGGCCAGGTGCTCGCTGCTTAAAGTTCGTTTGGCTTGACAGAGAAGACCCCTGCCTGCGCGCTGCGTGGATCGCTCTCTCGCCCTCATGCGCCCCCCAGCTGCTCGCCTCCTTGCCCTCCGGCGAGCGGACCTCTCCGGGAGGGAGGAGGCGCTTTGCCCGCCGCCGGCCTCGGAAAGGCACGGACCGCGCAGCCACTCCGCCCGCCGTGCCGCGCCGCCCCGGACGGCCCGAGGGAGAGCAGGCAGAGCGAGGGCCGTCCTCGCAGTCTTTCCAGTGCTGGGCTCGTCCTTCTCCTCGACACGGTGGTGTTTTTTTCAGTCCCAACACCCCCTTGTTTGGGGGCTCGTTTCAGAGCTGGCTTCTACCCCACATCGCCTTGAGGGCTTGAGCGAAGGCAGGCTGGCTCAAGGCCGCTGTGGGTCAGTCCCAGCTCTGCTAAATCGCACTGCCTCGTCCGGGGGTGGGGGGTATAATTAGTCTTAATTGGGTCATTTGGCCTGGATGAATAGCCACTTAACACCTTCCAGCCATTCCGTTGTCGCCGTAGGTCCGAAATCCCCATAGAGACATGCCTCTGACTTCGCAGGAAGAGTCGTCCCGCAAGCGAAGGGAACCCGCGTGTCGCCACGGGCAAACCCCACGGAGCGCGAACCTGGTCAGCGCCCAGCGAATTCAGGCTGGCGAGGCCGTGCTGCACACGCGGGCAGAGAAGGCGCCCGCCGGTCTTTGCGCGTCCCGGAGTATCTTCTCGGGGCCTATAAAAGGTCCTGCGCGAATTCTCGAGCCCCAGCGGAATTCAGGGTCTGACTCCAGTTTCCCGCAGTCCAGGCGGCTCTTTCCCAGTTCCGGCGCTACCCCCTCAAAGCCCCCTTCTTTCTGGGCAGGTCTGGGGGGCCGCCGGGGGCACAGCTCGCTCAGCCCCCAGAAGGGGAATTCTCAGCTGAAGACGGAGCGGAAGCTCAGCTGAACGCAGACTCCGTTTGCTTCACACTCGGTCGGGATCGCACGCTTCGGCTTCCGGTTTCGCACTTGCATCGCACTTGTGAACGTGCAACCCGATCCGAGGCGTGCTGACCCGCAAGTGCCGGGCCGCACGGTCGTCAGCGGAGTGGCGGGCAAGCAAGTCCGCACAAACGCCTCCGTCTTTAACGACGCACAAATCAGCGGGGTGAAATGCTTCGTGCGAATGCTTTTCGGTCGCGCTGCCCTTCCTGCTGCGGAGTCCTCGGAAAATCCGTCCCAGAGCTAACGTAGCTCGTCCAGTCTGCTCCTATTTCAGAGGCCTTCTATGAAAATCACAGAAGCTGACATCGTGCGGCCCACCAGAGCAATCCTGTAGACTTACACACAAGTAAACGCGTGTCTAGCACTGCAGCCTGAAGAGCTGCGCACACGAGTTTGCGGCTGCAACCCCATAGATTCGTCTCCAGCGGCTTTGAAGGCAGAGGGAGTCTCTCGGCGTACAGTGCCGATCCGACACGCGTTTCTCCAGTCGGTTTCAGCGGGAGTTACTCCTGGTATCGAACCGACCTGCATCCAGCCTGGTTCTGCTGGGCTGGCGGGTCCAGAGAGGCCCGGGAAGGGGTCTCATCGCGGGGCTCGCCCAAGCGGAGGGCACGGCGAGGCGGCGACGGCTCGGATCCCGGCGGACGAAGCTCTCTTCCCTGGGCGACTTCTGGGGGCTCTGCCACAGCGGAACAACCCTCAGCCCCCCCTCAACCTCCATCCGAAACGTCGTCCTGCCCCGGGCGCAACGTCTCGGATCGCAGCGCCGTGGAGGCCGGGAGCGCCCGGGGAGATCGGCTCGGGTAAACAACCCACCCGCCCGGCCGGGGCAGAACCGAGCCGAGCCACACCGAAAGGCCTGGAAGTCCGGTCGAAGCCAGTGGGACTGAAAGACCTGGAGATCCGGGCACCCGCGCAGGGCCCCTCGCATTGCGGGCCTTCACGGAGGGTCTCCGCCGCCCAGCCCCAAGGCCACGCGAGGCAAACGGGCGCCGTCCCCAGGGAGCGCTCCCCCCCTCCGAAGTCGCTCCCCTGAAATCCAAGAGATCGCCCCGGCCTCTCTCCAGACTCGTGGGATCGCTCTGGGCGGCGGCGCTGCTTTCTAGCGACGGGCGCAGGATGTGGCGCAAACCGGGCGGCGCGGCGTGCTCCAAGGGAGGCTTCTGCGCTCGCAGGAGCCGTGCGCGGGTCGCGCCAGGGCCGCCTTCGCACGGGCCTGCCCCGCTGCAAAGCTCAGGCGAGGGTGGCGGGGAAGCACGTGGCCGGGCACCTCTCTGCCCAGCGGCGGCGCGGGGGGAGCGCCCCTTTGGGGCGGCGGCGGGGGCGGCGGGGGGGCCCTTCCGCGGCCCGCGGTGGCCCCGCGCGCTCGGCTCGCCCCTCGCGCGGCCAGGGAACGAGGCCGGCGCTCCGCCGCGGTCCTGCTGCGGGCCCCGAAACCGGGCGAACGCGGCAGGGCCCCGAGGAGGGGGGCCTGCTGGTCTGGGCACCCGCGCTCCGCCTGCCGCCCCCGCCGCGGGGAGGCCTCCGTGCCCGCCCGAGATGAAGCGGCTCCCCATCTCCTCCTCGGCCGCCGACTGCAGGAGCGCCCCTGCCTCGCGGGATCGGCCTTCCGAGCGGGCCGCGCCTTCCTTGCCTGCCTCAGAAGGTGGCGTGCTCGTCCCGCCGAGCGGGGCCCGGGCGACTGCCCCGCGCCCCGGGTCGTCCTCCGCAGCCGGGCGACGCGCCCTGGAAAGGCCTCCTCCCCCTTCGATGCTCCCCGGGAGACGGCGCTCTCTAGCGCCCTTCGGGGCCGGGAGCATCGAGAACGCGGAGGCGCCTCTCGTCACTCACCGCCGCTTCTTCGCATACCGCGCACCTTAAAACACGCGCATGAATCGGCGGGCGCACCCGAAGCTGAACCGGCGCGAGAAAGGCCGGGAGCCGAGGCTGCGGGAAATTCGAACCGGGTCAGGCAGAACCTCTGCGGAAAGCAAGCTGCCGGTGGGGCGCCGTGGGGCGTCCGGTCTGGGAAGGGTGAAAGGCCTCTTAGGGGAGAAGGGAGAACTCTGGACGACCGGGAGCCGCAGACTGCGCGGCCGACTCGGAAGGGCACCTCGGAGGCGTCCGGCAGCGCTGTCCCTGCGCGCCCTCCGAGAGCGCTTGGGCAGCGGGGCTGGCCGGAGCCGTCGGGCGCAGAAGCCGCGCTGCAACGGCCGCGACCTGCGCGCCCCGCGAGGCTCTTTCCTTCCACTTCGGCGTGGCAGCGGAGACGCGTCCACACCTGCGCGAAGGGAAGCGAAGGGAAGGGAAGCCGCCCTGCCTCGGGGACCCAGCTCGCCCGCCCGCCCCTCCGGGAACCGACGGGCAGCACGCGCGGGCCTCGTCTCTGCCGAAAGCTCGGCCGAGGAGGGAGGCGGCAGCGGTCCTGCCCTCCGGGGGGAATCGCGTGGCAGCCCGGATCAGACTGACCTGGATCCACGGTCCCTGAGCGAAGGCGTGCGTGCGGGGCCGGGACCGAGGCTGAGCGCGTCTTCGCGCCGGGGCGCCCAAAGCCACGGACCCCGTTCCGCCCCCCGCTCGCAGCCCCCCTGCGGTCAAAGCCGCCGCGCTTCCTCGCCTCTCCTCGGCGCTGCCATTTTTACCCCGCCTCGAGACCGACCGCTGCCGGTGGGAAACCGGGTTGGAGGGCGGGGCCCGCCGTGGGCCCCCGGCACCGCTCGCCGCTCCGCCCAGCACGCTGCTCCCGGGGGCCCCGCGGCTCGGGAAGCGCGCGGAGCAGGGGCGCGGGCGCGGCGGGCCACTTACCGTCCGGCTGCTGGGTGTCGCTACCGCTGGTCAGCCCGGGCGACTCCAGCAGGCTGCGGCCGCTCTCCGCGACGCCCTCGTCGGCCTGCGCGGCCGCCAGGTCGCCGGCCTCCTCCAGGTCCAGCAGGTGGCTGACGGAGAAGTTCTTCTTGGCCTGCAGGCTGTCCAGGCTGCCGCCGGGGCTCTCGAGGCGCGCGGGCAGGCCGGCCGGCGGCCGCTCCAGGACGTGCACGTAGCTGGAGGCCATGGCTTCCCCCGCGGCACCGAGCGCGGAGGCGGCGGCGGCGGCGGAGCTCCCCTCGCCGCCGTCGCCGCGGAAGCGCCGGGGGCTCCTCGCAGCGCGCCCGGCAGCCGGCTCGGCAGCCCGCGGGCGG